CAGGGCCAGTACATCCTTCCTGAGATATGGGGCCCAAAACTGCACACGGTACTCCAAATATGGCCTGACCAGAGCCTTATAAAGCCTCAGTAGTACATCCCTGCTTTTATATTCAAGTCCTCTCGAAATAAATGCCAACATTGCTTTTGCCTTCCTGACCACTGACTCAACCTGCAAGTTTACCTTGAGAGAATCCTGGACTAGAACTCCCAAGTCTCTTTGCACTTCAGACTTCCGAATTTTCTCCCCATGTAGAAAATAGTCCATGCTTTTATTCTTCTTACCAAAGTGCATGATCTCACACTTTCCCATGTTGTACTCCATCTGCCACTTCTTTGCCCACTCTCCTAACCTGTCCAAATCCTTCTGCAGCCTCGCCACCTCCTCAATATTACCTGTCCCTCCACCTATCTTTTTGTATTGCCTGCAAACTTAGCCAGAATGCCCACCATTCCTCCATCTAGATCATTAATGTACAAAGTGAAAAGTTGTGGTCGCAGCACTGACCCTTGCAAAACATCACTTGTCACCGACTGCCATCCTGAGAAAGACCTCTTTATCCCTATTCTCTGCTTTCTCCAGACAGCCAACCTTCTATCCATGCTAGCACCTTGCCTCTAACACCATGGGCCCTTATTTTACTCAGCAACCTCCTGTGTGGCACCTTATCAAAGGCCTTTTTGAAGTCCAGGTAGACAACATCCATAGGCTGGCCTTGGTCTACCCTGCTCATTACTTCCTCCAAAGAATTCTAGCAGATTTGTCAGGTATGACCTCCCCTTGATAAAACCATGACTTTGCCCTATTTTACTATACACTTCCAAATATTCAGCAATCTCCTCCTTTTATAACGGACTCCAAAATCTTACCCACGACTGAGGTTAGGCTAATCGGCCTGTAATTTTCCGTCTTTTGCCTTACCCCCTTTTTTAAACAGGGGTGTCACGTTAGTGAGCTTCCAGTCCTTTTGTACCCACCCTGAGTTTGGTAGTGAATCCCAAGAAAATGAATTAGTGGAATATCATCGAGATGGATTTTTGGAGCAGCTTGTGGGAACATGGAATTTGTGATTTGGTGATACGTAACGAGGCACGTTGATTTAGGAGCTTATGGTGAAGGAACTCTTCAGGGGTGGTGACCGTAATATGATAGAATTCACCCTAAGTTTGAGAGGGAGAGTCTTGAATCAGATGTCACAGTATTACAATTGATGTTGACCTTCGAGAGACGAAGATTAAGAGGAGACCTGAAATGGGTTTTCAAAACCATAGAAATAATAGATAGGGAGATACTATTCTTACTCGTAAAAGAAACAAGAACAAGAAGAGGTGGATTGCAAGTGATCTGCCAAAGAAACAAGGGTGAAGTGAGAGAAATTTTTTTCACACAGAGCATTGAGAGCATGGAATGCACTGCCTGAAAATGTGGTGGAAGCAGGTTTATTTGAGATATTGAAGAGGATATTGGATGATTATTTGGATAAAAATAATATGCAAGGGTATGGGGAGAAAGTGGGAGATTGGCCTTTTGTACCCTATACTTACCTCTTGTCCCGACCCTGGAAAAAATACTTTCCTTGATTCACTTTTTTGGTTGCGTTTCCAAAATTCATTTTGCGTTCCATTCTCTGCAATTTTTTTAACTACTTTTTTTTCTTCATTCATTCACGAGTTGAGGGCGTCTCTGGTGAGGCAGCATTTATTGCCCATTCCTAATTTCCCAGTGGGCAGTTCAGAGCCAACCTCATTGCTGTGGGTCTGGAGTCCCATGTAGGCCAGACCAGATAAGGATGGCAGTTTTCTTCCCTAAAGGGGAAAAAAAAATTACTTGATTCACTTATGGTTGCATTTCCAAAATTCATTTTGCGTTCCATTCTCTGTAATTTTTCTTTAACTACTGCTGTCCTCAATCTCACCATCAGCTCCACGTAGCTAGTCCTCCACTAGACCCTCATTTTTACTTCAGTCCAGGAGATGCAGACTGGAATGGCTGTAATGGACAACAAGTCTGGCCATTTGCTGCCAAATCTAACTAGATTGCATGAACTACTGTTCTTCAGCTCCTGTGCAGTCAGCTCTCTGATGCTCCTCACTTCATCCAACTATGTGTAGTGATCTGTCATCTGTTGCTCTTTCTCCCCTCTAAATCCTCATTTCTGGTGGTTAAATTCCCAGTATGGGCCTATTTTATTAGCTTAAAAGCCTGATGAGTCAAAACTCATTCCATGACATACAATATGGAAAATACCTGGTTGTGGATTTTTCTCAAGCCTGATTTCAAATTCCTGGACATCACTGAGCATCATCTTGCACTGAAAGCAAAATAAGACCCTGTTTCAGTCTCTTTCCTGCTGTGAACTGTTGGGGGGTGGTATTGGAGAATACCTAGAGATACATAATCTTTCAAGGTCTGCTTCAAATTCCTGGGCTCTTCTCAACATCAGAAAGATATCTTGTGCCCTAAATTGCACCAGCAATACCACATGACCTAAATTTACTCTTTTGCTGATCTTCTGCACCATTTAAAGTACCTCTGGTCAGTCTGTTTCCCTACCACCATCACCACTGCAATTTTGGGAAGACTTCAGTCTCTAATTGATCTTGTGTCTGCCACTTATTGATGTGATTTTTCAGTTTCGTTCTGTTTCTTGCCCCAGATTACATGGACATCCACTTATGATCAAGCATATAAAGTATAGTTATTTCTCAGCAGACTCTGGACTTAAGTTATCTGGAAAATTCTTGTATTGGATCAAGGTCCTTTTCCACCAACGTTGAGTGGTAGTTGGCATGTAATGACCTCCACAATGTTGGAGGAAAAATAATCAACCATAGGCATCTTTCACTTCTTAGAATTATGTTTGCAACCTGAATGTAAGGATGCTCATTGACAAACCCAACATTGACAGACCTGTGCACCAACCATTGTAGCTGTGAAACATGGGCACCTTGATATCAACTTTGCCACCCTATAGTCAGGGAGGCATTCAGGAGGAAGTCAACTGAGGGAATGGCAGGTGCATCTTTTTTCTGGAAGGGCCCTCTCGAAGAGGAATGATTCCTCCATTGATTGGGCTTTATCATTGGAAGTGAGCTCATCTTGCAGCTTGAATGTTTCTGCTGTGGGGTTAGTAAGTTCATGATTTCTTATCCCACTTGAATGAGAAATCAGTGTGCCGTTATCAGCTGTGCATATGCTCCTACATTTGAGGTAAAAGATGAGATCCAAGGAGGGATTCAATTCTGATCTTGGCAGCAGTCAAATTGATTCTCCTGTGAGATTTCAACAGTAGATTTGGGAAAGACCAACAGTTCTTTGTGTGCGAAGAATTACTCTGACGACCAATTCAGCCTTGTCATTTGGGCTTGCAATGTGATGAACTTTTATGTACTGAACGTTCCATATATTAATAAACAATGTTCTGTTCTTTACAGACAGAAACAACTTTCTTTTTATTCAGTCACAGGATCATCGCTGGCTGCGTCAGCATTTATTGCCCAACTCTAGTTGACATTGAGAAGGTGGTGGTGAGCTGCTGTGCCTGTTTCAAACCACAAAATAGGTGATAGTCATTTGCTAGTTAATTTCTCAGGAAAATGCCTTGCCCAAGTAAAGTCAACCTGCCCAGTTTAAAATTTAAAGCCTAGACGTTAACGTGAATGGTCACTAACTGGTGCATTCTCTATGGTGACACCCCTACTAATCAGAGTCCATTTGAGTTGATATTCTTGCAAATTATTGTGATGATGAGTGCAAAACAAAAAGCTTTGACAAAATATCTTTTATACTGGCAATGTCTGTAACATTGATTGCAACAGAACTGCAACATGTTATTGAATATCATAAACTTACAGTTTAAAATCCTTGGGCTGTCCCCAGTCAGCATCACTTTTAATCATTAAGAAATGAGTGATAATATTGAGCTTTATAAAAATTTAAAATTTTAAAATAATTGAGGAACAGTTTTAAAAAAATAAATGAATACTGATCGAATCTCACTGGGCCATCCTGAACCAACAGGAACACTTCGGATTCATATTTGACTTCTGTCTTAAATATTGACTGTATATAATTCTCTTTAGACGGATAGAGGAAGAAATTATACTGGGATTAAATAGAAGATAATTTTACATCTGATAACAATTTTGCTTCCATCAGTACCTGTGTTTGATCAGTTTAAGCTTCTGTTAATGTAGCTTTGAATATTGGATGATTCTAAGATAAGTTAAATTTGTACAAACCTCCTGTACTTGCTAAGTGTTATCCTTGGCTCAGTGTTGGTGTACATTTGCCCCTGAGTCAGAAGTGCTGTACTGGCAGAAGCACTGTCTTTGAGATAAAACCAAGTCTGTCATGTTACTTTGGACATAAAATGTCCAAAGGTAGTATTTAAAGTAAGTGACAATGTTCTCCTAGTGTTCTTGGAGAAGTTATCCTTTAAATAAAAAACGATGTCAGTAAAATAGACCATTTGTCTGTTTCTGTGTGCAAGTTGACTGCCACATTTTGATTACAGTGTGTGTCAACGTTGACTCAATGGCTGTGAAACACCTTGTGACATCCTAAAGTTTTGAAAGGCCTTATAGAAGGACAACTGATTTTGTGTTTTCTTACTCTTTATCTATCTGTGCACATATTGAAAAGCTGAATGATGGAATAAAACTTACAAATCTTTCTTCTGGTCGAATCTAATGTGTTCCATTTATTGCTGATAAATGTAACACAATGAAGTAGACAAATACTGAAGTAGTTGGCATAAAATCTGAGGCTAAATATATTTATAAGTTCATAACATATAGAAATGCTGCCTATTATTTATATTTTTTCCTTTGCTCACTAATTTTATTCCATCATGCTCATGTTGATTAATGTGTAGGAGGAAATTTCTGCAGTTTAAAAGGTGACTGAATCTAAAAATTTTTGACAGGAATTGTTTTTTTAATCTTCATTTTTTTGCCAGTTATGGTTACATTTTGATAGGTTGCTTTTTCTCCATACAGACGTCAGAAAGCCAGAGAGAGACAACAGAAGTTGCTTGCTGAATTTGCTTCAAGACAAAAAAGTTTCATGGAAACAGCGATGGATCTTGGTAAGCTTTTGTCGCACGCACGATTTGTCCAGTTGAGAGTTTGTTATCACTATAATCTGAATAACACAGTTCTTTGGATTCTAATGTATTCAGAATCATTTTCTTTATTCCTTCATGGAACGTGGGCATGGCTGGCGTGGTGAGCATTTGTTGTCCATCCCTAATGCCCTTGAACTGAGCAGCTTGCTCAGACATTTCAGAGGATATTTAACAGTGAACTATATTCTTGTGGGTCTGAAATCACGTGTAGGACAAACCAGGTAAGGGTTACCTTCCATAAAGGACATCAGTAAGCCAGATAGGTTTTTGCAATAGTCACTGGTGGTTTCATGCCATCATTCCCAAGACAAGATATATAATCCAGATTTATTACTTGAATTTAAATTCTGCCAAATTTCGAAGAATTACTATCTTGTACTTCTCACATCGCATTAATTGAACTGCATTGTGACATTGGGAAGTTTTACACTACTGAGTTAAGAGCAAATGTTCAGGGAATTACATAAAGAACTAGACATATTTGGAGGTGGTAGGGGGGAAAAGAAGTACAGGTGCAATGGAAAAATATAATACTTTTCTTTTGGGACAAAAAGAAAAAAGGAAGAGAACTGCAATAAACTTTGCAGAACCTGTAGAGAGAGGAAAAAAATCAGGAGCAACATTTGGAAAGTAGAAATTCGGGAGCATTACAAAATATAAAGAGAACACACCGTGTTGGAGAAATAATGTCTTGCTATTGGTTCAAATACCATACGTCTGATATGTTTTGATTTGAAATTTTTGTACCATATTGGCTTTTTTAAAATGATCATGGTCCTTCACTAAATATTGATTTCTTCAGTCTATGAAATGGAATACTGGAATGTGAGATCAAAAAACCTGCTTGGGTGAATTGAAGGGAAGAAAAGATGTGTCTCTTGAATGACGGCAGAGGACTGAGGGGAAGTGATAACATGCTGTGAGGGTTTGGCGGAGACAGCCTCTAGAACGTGTATTGGTGGAGGAAGAGAAAATCTTGATACAAATATCAGTATTTAACTAGTGAAAATAGATGGGGTAACTTGCGTCCATGCTTTAAAATGGCAACTTGACTTGCTTACTGAGCCTGCTAATCCTTCTTGCACTTCATTATTGTTTCTGAAAGGGGGAAAAGAAATTGTATGATAAAATGTACCAACAAATAAAGCCATGTCAAATAGCATGGGGGATCTACTTATCTGCCTCTTGCCACTTAATTTTTTTTTTCCCATCTCCTTTTCCTGTTTGGACGTGTGTGGCAGATGGGGCTTGAATTGGTACCTTCCGATCTAGAAGTAGGGACGTGACTACAGTCATGTCTTGCTTGCTATTTAAAGTGTTTTTAAGCATGTTGTGACACACCTTTATGGCAGGTGGGCCTTGAACCCAGCCCTCTGGCCGAAAAGTTGGGACACAACTACAGTATCCTAAATTGATTCATCTGTGGAGTGTGTTCACAGCTGGAACCTGCAATCTTCTGATAGCAATCCAATTCACCGAAGAACATGTTATAACGCACTGCTAGAGCAAGAGGGATTTGCACCTGGGCAGTTTGATCCAGAAAGCCAGACACTAGTACTGTGCCAGGGACCCCTGTCTTCTTTTTGGTTAGTTATTTTTAATCAACCTGTTCAGACTTGTTGTGACACACCTCCGGGCCTGGTGGAAATTGAACATTGAATTTTTGACCCGGAGGTAGGGACAATACTTCTGCACCACAAAAACCCTCTCCCAATGTGTCTGTGTAGTTTGGAACAAACAACCTTTTGTGTGAAGTGAATGTAAGAACCACTATACTACAGAAACATGGCAGTCTCTGTTGTCTTTTAGAAATTTTTATTCAATCTGTTTAGAATTTCTATGACACGTGACTGGAACAAGTTGGAATTGATCAAGGACCACCGAGCTCAGAGGAAGGGTCATTACCACTGCACCAAAAAGCCCTATAAACCTACTACATGTGGCATTCCATAGTGGCCTCCTGTCTGAGTACTATCTATGTCTGAATCTTTTGAGCTTCTGAGTCTGCATAGTTTCTGAGATCAGACAAGATTGGGCTTTGTTAGACTTGTATGACAATAGGCTGCTCATGCTTTTCAGCTATATTCAATCAACCTGTCGGATATGGTATGACGCACCTCTGAGGGAAGGTGGGGCTTTCTGCCCAGAGTTAGGGACTGCATCACAAGAACCCTTCTAAAAGCATCCAGATAAGAGCTTAAACCCTTGACCCTCTCTTTAAAAATCTCACACTTTACTGATTGATCCATCTGGGCTTAAAAACAAGATTTGTGTTGCAGTAAGAGTCTGTGAGCCTGATAGAATTTGAACACACGACCTTCTAATCTGGAGTCAGACATGCTTCTGATGTACAATGACCTCACTTGTGGAACAGGTGGGACTTGAACCCGAGCCTCCTGGCTATCCATGCTAACGCTGTGCTACAAGCATCTCCCCCCCCCCCCCACTTTCACTTTTTATGGTGTTCTCAATGACTTTAATCTTTTTAATTGGTTGTCAGCAAGCATTGTGTGTTGTCTAATTAGATCCTCAGTATAACTTTTATAAAAGACTAAAACAAACCTCTAACTTCAAGAGTGGGAAAAAAGTAGTGTCCAGGTTTTAAGAAGCCTATAATCAGGGTGGCATTGAAGTACTGAAAGCACGTGTGGATTAAATTGGATCACAAATTGCATTGGAAACTTTCAGGGTACAGCATTAATTCATGGCCGCTGTTTGAAATGCAGACAGCGTACCATTTCTCTGTTGCTTGCTATTTGACTTCTTTGTGTGACTGAGTTCTAAATGTGCTGTTCGTTGGCTGTACATATCAGCAGAGGACCAAACTTATTGCTACTTTCCACTATTAAAGCTGGGTTGCCTCTAAAATGGGAAGTGCATTGTGACTGTGAATGTCTCCGAAGTGGGCTAGGAGACCCACCAGCTAAAAGCAGTGGTAGTAAATAGCCTTGGACATCAATGCCTGATATTTAACCTCAAGATCTCAGATGCAATGCTACAAAGAAACTTGAATGCATCTACATTACTGTTACATCCAACAACTTCTTCCAATCAAGTTAATGGAAAGATTCTTGGCAGTGTGGAGGAGCAGAGGGATCTTAGGGTTCATGTTCACAGTTCCCTGAAAGCTGCCACCCAGGTTTATAGAGTTGTTAAGAAGGTGTATGGTGTGTTAGCTTTCATTAATAGAGGGATTGAATTCAAGAGCCGTGAAGTTATGCTCCAGCTATACAAAAGCCTGGTTTGGCCACATCTGGAGTATTGTGTCCAGTTCTGGTCACCTCATTACAGGAAAGATGTGGAAGCGTTGGAAAAGGTGCAGAGGAGACTTACCAGGGTGTTGCCTGGAATGGAGGGAAGGCCTTACGAGGAAAGGTTGAGAGAGCTACGGCTTTTCTCTTTAGAATGACGAAGGATGAGAGTTGACTTGATAGAGGTGTACAAAATGATCAGAGGTATAGATAGAATAGACAGCCAGAGACTCTTTCCTAGGGTGGAGGTAGCTTTTATGAGGGGACATAGTTTTAAAGTGAAAGGAGGTAGATATCGGGGAGACGTCAGAGTCGGTTCTTTACTCAGAGTGGTTGGGGCGTGGAATGCATTGCCGGAGAGGGTAATGGATTCGGCCTCATTAGGGGCATTTAAGCGGCTATTAGATAGGCATATGGATGATAGTATAAAGGTAGCGGTGGAGGTTAGATAGACCTTAGGTTTCGGGTAAAAGTTCAGCACAACATCGTGGGCCGAAGGGCCTGTACTGTTCTATGTTCTAAATCAGTAGTCCTACCAGTTGTTCATATGCTCTTCCAAATCCAAATGGCAGGTGTCATGCACAAATCTCATGCCTGGCTGTTGAACTATGTTGCCTCAAATAGTTGCAAGAGACTCATTGATCCTCTCTCTCTCTCTCTTAGAGCAAAGTGATACACACTCCGAAGGTTCAGTACACCTCGTTCAACCCCAGGAGGAGAGAGTGCTCAGCATTACTGAAATTGGTGTTGTTAAGACCAAAGCCTGCAGTGGTGTTGAAACAACTAAGCTGACAGCATTCTTACCTGAAATTTACCTTCTCACATTCTATTTCACTCTCACCTCAATCACTTTTTAACTTTCATGTTGCAGTACTTTTTGGCCTAGGTAGTATCCCTTGCTTCCTAATTCCAGCACTGACCTTAAGCAAGATATCCTAGAGTTGCAGTTGCTCTACTGTAACACCTAAGATAACAAAGACCCACCATTGTGT